ACTACCCAGGCCTAGAGTCAGGCCAGAGCCTCGAAGGACGTGATATTTTTTTTTTTTTGAGAACAGGCAAAAATCAATGCGCTCGCGGATGTCATCCATAAGATTAAGTCGGTGTGGCCTAACATATTGTATAAGATATTGTATTTCCTAATACATATAAAACAATAATTTCTACGGGTAATTGCTGCGGGCAACATAAGTCTTAGTAGACCCTAATATTCTCTCATATTACGACATAAAATTATTATGATTTATTCTCACTAGCACACAATCCTCCCCCCCCCCCGGTCCCACGAATCACAAAAAAAGCCCGGTCTAGATAGGGTTACCGTATTCCCATCATTCCCACACATAGGCATCTTCAAGGGTGGGCACTGGAATAAAATGGTCCATTTCCTTGTTAAATTTATTTTTTTAATTATTACTTGAATTCTAGAAGTTTCGTTGATTTTATTTTCTTACTTAATGATATGTGATCATTTAGAAAATTATGTTGGTCTGTTGAGCCCCCTTTACCTATGAATCACTGTTTTATCTATTTTCTTCTAGATTTTTTTGCTGTTCTCTGAGACAAAACACAAAGTAGTGGCACAAAGTAGCGGCACAAAATCACAAAAGAGAACAGTATGAAGAGGTGGAAGGCACTGAGATCCTTGGTCCGATTTGCCGGACCCCCACCTCCTCCCCCTCCTGCAGAATTTGAGGTGGGTGATGCAAGCTTGTCGCCTGGGAAACAAGGTGTTGAAGACGAGGATGGTAGAAATGTTCCTCCTCCTCCTGTGCCACCGAGAAAGCAGTCGACAAAGAGGTATGAAGACGTGGATCCTCATGGTGAGAGTATCTTTGCTTCGGGTGCTGAGCTAAAAAAGAAGGATGATGAGGCTGTGCCACCCCCGCTGCCACCAAGAAAGTACGAAGACGTTGACCCGCATGGGGACAGAGTCTTTGAAAAACGTTCTGGGTTACAACGTCCTGCAACTAACGAACCCCCTTCTTGCCCCCGTGGCAAAAAAGAGGATGGGCAGGGACAAGTAGATGGGAAGAATGGCAATAACAGAAAGAGCAACGCTATTGAACGTGCTGTGACCAATGAACTCCCATCTCACCATCACGGCATGAAAGACAACGAGAAGGGACAGGTAGACGAAAGAAACGAAGAGTCTGAGAGAGCGCCCAAAGATGTGGATCAAAAGCTTGGAGATACAAAAGTGGGCCCTGCTTTGCAAGATGTTGTGCCGACCAAACGTACTGCACCCAGTGAACTCCTACCTGGGCGTCGTTCAAAAAAGAAGGGACGCAATACAGAACAGCCAACTGGAAAAGACACCAAACAAGCCGGCCAAAAGTATGAAGACACGGATCTTAAGTCCAACGATATTGATGTGGTATTAAGCTCTGGCTTGAAACGCCCTGTGCCCGACCTACCGCCTCCTCGCAAAGGCAAAGACCCTAAGAAGAAGAAAGAAAAAGAAGCAGACAAAGTGGAGAAAGTCGTTGGTTCAGAGCACGATGGTCACAATGCGGCCTCCATTTGTCATCTTGACATGGGGGACCACATGGTCGTCTGGCCAGACAACAAAAGAGACTCATACTCTGATGATACATACTACTCATCAAAGGGTTCGATCAGCGATGGGGAGGGTGGGAAGCGTTGCTCATTACGCAATGAAGCCCCTCCTCACAATATTGACATGGGGGACCACATTGTTGTGTGGTCAGATCACAGCCAAGAATCCTTCTCTGATACATACTATACAGCCGAGGATCTCATCAGACTGAAAGGAGAGGAAGATCTTCTAGACACAGGGGTACACAATGCAACAGAGGCAAAGAAGGAAAAAGATGAAGATTTGGATGGCCAGGAGGATGTGAATGGAAAGAAGGAAGAAGTCAGAAAGTACGAAGATGTGGATCCGTCTGGAGACAGTATTTTTATACTGGGCCCTGGGTTAAAGCGCAATAAGCCGGATAAACTCCCACCTCGCCACCACAAGATGGAAGACAAAGGAAAGAAACAGGTGGACGGAATAAGTGAAGAATCTGTCGGAAAGTACGAGGATGTGGATCCGTCTGGAGACAGTATCTTTATATTGGGTCCTGGAAGAAATGAAGAATCGGACAGAAAGAGCAAAGATCTGGATCGAGAGGATGGGGGTGTAAAGGTGGACTTTGAAGGCGATGATCCTTCTTCTCCTCTTCCTCCTCCTCCTCCAAACCTTGAAATGGGAGACCATACCGTGGTGTGGCCTTGCGATGAGAATACTTACTCCTACTCCGAAGAATATTACACGTCGAAGGACGTCAACCGAGATGAAGGGTGTGTGAAAAAGGGCGACTTTTGCTACAAAGTTAGAGGTATGTGCATATACATTTTTTTATCAAGGCTGCATACATGTGTCTATGCATGAGGATTTAAACCCCAAGGCCACACCAATTGTACAAGTGTATGTTTTGTTTTCTGTGTGATTATCTGCTAGGTTGTGTTTGGGAGTTATATCTAGATGATTGTGTGTTGCCTTCTTTCTTTTTTTTTTATTAATTATTGTCCAAAATATACAAGTCAGTCCCATATTCCCATATTAGAGAGAAACAGTGAAAAATTCCAAATAATGAATAAAAAACACAAGGAACTCACATTCTCATTTTATCAAAAGGTGTCATGATTTGTTTTTGGTTCAAATGACATAAATTTGAGATGGGTAGAAAAGAGAATAAAGCCATAAATGTTAATTTTGCACTAGGATGGTTTTGGAATACTAAGTAGTCCTTAGTTGTGCAAACTTTGCAATATTGGTCAATTTCCGTAGTCCATATTTGCACCAGGGGAAGCCATCCATGAGGCGTAAGGAATATTCTGCCTTTGCTGGCAAATTTTACATTTTTAGTAAACCTTTCTGGGCTTTTGACTGTGCAAACAATGGTCATTGAATGGATGGTTACATTTAGGTTATATTAATTCCATTGCTTTCATTTAATGTATTTTACTGCTTTGAATATAGCAATGGTCGTCCTGACTTTGGTTTGAAATGTGTTGTAATGTGGGGTGTCTGACACTAGCAATTTTCTGCGTTGTACAGTTATAATCTTAAAGTAAAATTAGTAAGGATGCTGCCTTTATTGTTATCACAATCTAGACAGGTTCATGGAAATGTGGAATAAGATGAAATGTCTCAGTGCTAGTGAAGCGCTGAGCAAGGTGAAAGCTAACAAGGACATCTGCTGGGTCGCGCTGGTTTGTGGGCTCCTGTTGGTAGCAGCTGTGGTCACCGCCGCAGTCCTGACAACTCCTCTCGGTCCTGAAGGTGCCGAGGTAGGCTAAAATTAAGCTGTGTGTTACGCTGAAGGGCGGTTATATCTAGTCTCCACCAGACTCCTTTGCAGGCTGAATAAAAAGTACAGATTGGCTTAAAAGGGGGATTTAATTGGCCAGAGGAGTTGGCCGAACAGAGAGGGTCCATCATGTCAAAGGAGAGTTAAATTTCGCAAATGGTCCTTCTCTGGGCGACCAGCTCCTCTGGCCAATTAGATTTCCTCTAAGGCCGATTTCTACTATTTATTCAGCCTGTAAAGGAGTCTGGTAGAGACTAGGTTTACTGGCTATAAAGATACAGAAAACAACTCAATGACAAGCATGCAGCAGAAACAAGCCCCAATAAGAGCCCCAATATGAGCCCTTAATGAGTCTTTTATTTTCTGAGTGGTACGCCAAAAATCAGTCCAGGGCCCTTCCAGTAAGCAGTTTCCTTCGAAAGGTTGGGAATTTTTGTTCCATGGCGGTCAATATACATGGGATAATGTGGTTTCAACTCAGTATGTATATAAATGACAGGAAAATTGGGTTTCCAAACCCTAAGAACTGAATTGCATGCCTTTAACAAAATTATGTTTTCAAGGTCTTCTTGAAAATGTCTTGGACCACTTTAATCTGGGCATTACTAAATGCTGCAATTGATAGTAAATTTACATTGCCGTAAGGGCTAATCTCATGGTACTCAGGGGGATAACAAGATGTTACTAGTATTTTTTCTACACGTATAGGCTGTTATAAGTTATGTACAATCTACTTGCAGGATTCACAAATGGACCAAGATGGCTTTGGATTCTGGACATACTCTGAGAAGTCTACTACTCCTTGGGAGACAACATTTTACAATGAAAACAGCTTCAACAACAGCTTCAACGTCTCAGCTACGCCCTTCTCCACCAAACCCTACCAAGCCACACCCTTGCCTCCCCAGAAGGGGACAGAGCCAGGCGCGTCTTGGGAAACTCCGTGGGGAAGCACCTCGATCCAACAAGCCACACAGCCGTTTGTCTCAAGTACTGGCCTCAACATCGTAAACTCAACAACAACTGTGACTGTAACCATTCTGCCGACTCATGGTAAGTAAATATGTATTTCTATCAGGTGTTGTGTGGCGTTACAACAGTGCGTTTGTCTTGGAGCCAAGAGGTCCCGACTTCGAAACCTACCATGTTCTACGACTACGATCTGGTGCCCTTGGGAAAAGCACTTTACATGACTTTTCCTCACTTAACTCAGATGAAAATGAGTATGTCTATTGTCCCTACATGCATTTTCCCTCTGTCGTGGTGGCATGGAAATAAGATGAAAAAACTTCAGTCACCACGGCTTGTTATAAATATTGTAATGGAAACAAAACTATAAATGTCTAATATCTTTTTTGTTATCTATTAATTTGTAAGCTAGTATTACCAATTGCTAAAATGTACACAGACATACTATGTAGGAAACATGATTGTACACGGAAAGTTTGGCAACATATTTTTTCTACTTTTATCAAACCTTAAGTTGTATAAGCTAGTACAATATGCACTCTAGTTATAGTTCACACTCAAATGGATTTTTATATTTTTTATTTAGATCTTAAGTATTACAAGAATTTTCACCCTTCTAATGTCTTTTTTTTTACATTCTTTCTATAGAATACAATCATGCGTTTATTTTGTGGATGGTCTTTCTTTCTTTTTTCACACAGACATCAATAAGTGTGCCAGAAAACCTTGCCAACATGGCACCTGTGTGAACAAAGATGACGGATACGACTGTACCTGCTCACCTGGATGGACTGGACAGAACTGTCAGCAAGGTACTTTTTCTGTGGCTTAACCACATTCGTACCTTGCATAATTTGACCGTTTTCCATTTTCTTTCTTTCTTGTTTACTTCTCGATAAAAAAAGCTTATCAAATGTCACATTATGATATCAAACAGTAATCTTTGTCACACATTCAGACATCAATGAGTGCACCAGCAGACCCTGCCAACATGGAATCTGTGAAAACAAAGCTGGTGGATTCAAATGTACCTGCTCACCTGGATGGACTGGACAGAACTGTCAGCAATGTGAGTACCTTTTCTGTAGCTAAACCACATTCCGTTCCATTCATATATCATCCGTATTCCATCTATTTTCCTTTCTTTCTTATTTACTTCTCAAAAAGAGTTTTTCAAATGTAGCGTTATGGTCATATGAAATCTTAATCTTTATCACACACTCAGACATCAACAAGTGTACCAGCAGCAAGCCATGTCAACATGGACGCTGTGTGAACAAAGCTGGTGAATACAGATGTATCTGCACACCAGGATGGACTGGACAGAACTGTCAGCAAGGTGAGTATTTTTCTGTGGCTTTATCACATACTATTTGATGCATACTTTATCTGTATCCAATCTTTCTTGCTTTCATTTTTTCAGTTCTCAAAAAAGAGTTTATCAAATGTATCATATCAAATCCTTATGTTTTCACATATTCAGACATCAATGAGTGCACCAGCAGACTCTGCCTACATGGGACCTGTGTGAACAAAGATGGTGGATACAAATGTACCTGCTCACCTGGATGGACTGGACGGAAATGTCAGCAAGGTATTTTTTCTGTGGCTTTACCATATTCTATTAGATACATAATTTATCCGTCTTCAATCTATTTTCCTTTCATTTTTTTCAACTAAAAAAAACTCTATTCTCAAATGTATCATATTAAATCCTTATCTTTCACATATTCAGACATCAATGAGTGCACCAGAAACCCATGCCAACATGGAACCTGTGAGAACAAAGATGGTGGATACAAATGTACCTGCTCACCTGGATGGACTGGACAGAACTGTCAGCAAGGTGAATACTTTTCTCCTGTGACTTAACCACATTCCATTTGATGCATACATTATCAACATTCCATTTTTCTTTCTTTCTTGTTTACCTCTCGATAAACGGTTTATCAAATGTGACCTTTTGATACTAAACTTTATAATCTTTATCACACATTCAGGCATCAAAGAGTGCACCAGAAACCCATGTCAGCACGGACGCTGTGAAAACAAAGCTGGTGGATACAAATGTACCTGCTCACCTGGATGGACTGGACAGAACTGTCAGCAAGGTGAATTGCTTTTTTTTCTGTGGCTTCATAACATTCGTACCACGCATAAATTATCCGTATTCTATCTATTTTCCTTTCTTTCTTATTTACTTCTCAAAAAGAGTTTTTCAAATGTAACTTTATGGTCATAGTAAATCTTAATCTTTATCACACAGACATCAATGAGTGCATCAGAAACCCATGTCAACATGGACGGTGTCAGAACAAAGCTGGTGGATACAAATGTACTTGCTCACCTAGATGGACTGGACAGAACTGTCAGCAAGGTGAGTACTTGTCCTGTGGTTTAATAACATTCGTACCATGTATAAATTAACCGTATTCCATTTTCCCTTTCTTTCTCGTTTACCTCTCCATAAACAGTTTATCAAAGGTAACATTATGATCTTAAACAGTAATCTTTTTTACACATTAAGACACAATAAGTGCATCAGAAACCCATGTCTACATGGACGTCTGAAAGAACAAAGCTGGTGGATACTAATGTACCTGCTCACTTTGATGGACATAAAAAAAATAGCCCAAAAGCCCTAAGTGCTGTATGTCAAAAATTTGAGTGCGGTTTGACTTCACCACATAGTGTTAAAGCCATAAAAACGTATCATATTAAAACCTTATCTTTTCACATATTCAGACATCAATGAGTGCACCAAAGACCCATGCCAACATGGAACCTGTGTGAATAAAGATGGCGGATACAAATGTACCTGCTCACCTGGATGGACTGGACAGAACTGTCAGCAAGGCGAGTGCTTTGTTAACCAAGTAATAAAAGTGTAACGTGTTTTTAGCATATTTTATCGGTCATTTCAGCTACAACTGCTATGCATTTCTTTTACACAGACTTCAATGAGTGTACCAGAAAACCCTGTCTACATGGAAGCTGTGTGAACGAAGATGGCGGATACAAATGTACCTGCTCACCAGGATGGACTGGAAAGAACTGTCAGCAAGGTGTTTATGTGTATTTCTTGGTCATGACATGAATTTTAGCTCATCCTTTCTTTTTTACTTTTTCTTTCTTGATAATCAAAAGTAAGGGTTTATGTATAACCGGTCTTTCTTTCCTTATCACGCAGACATCAATGAGTGTACCAGAAAACTATGCCAACATGGACGCTGTTTGAACAAAGATGGCGGATACAAATGTACCTGCTCACTTGGATGGACTGGACAGAACTGTCATAAAGGTTAGCCACTCAAAAACTTTTTTTGTGATGCCAGCGTCCTATAATCAAAGTAGCTACAACACCAGAACCTGTACACTTATCTCATGTAGATATAAATGAGTACAAAAGACATTTTTTAGAACATAGAAACAGTGTGAACCAAGAGGTCGGATACAAATGCACCTGCTCTTTTGGGTGGACTGGACAGAACTGTTAGCAAGGTTGCACATATTTTGTGTTTTCTTGTAGCCGTCTATTCGCTGGAATATTTTTAAGGCCAATTCATTTCCCTCTGAGACATGTCTGGTGTGTATTTGTGCGTGTGTGAATGTTTGTGTATGTAATTTTGTTTTAAAGATATATATGTCACAGGGGAGATTGGAATCCAGGGGGATCCGGAATCCTCCTGTAGATTGGAATCCCTAGGAGAATCTGGAATATATATTCATATCTATGACCATATGAGTAGAAAGACATTTTAGCCGTCTGTTCATTTCATTTTTGTCTTAATCAGACATCAATGAGTGCACCAGTAACCCATGCCGACATGGACGCTGTTTAAACCTTCATGGTGGATACAAATGCACTTGCTCATCTGGATGGATTGGACCGAACTGTCAGAAAGGTTAAACATTTTTGTGTTTCCTTTTAGTATTAAAAGCCCTTTACTTATCCTGTTATATTTTGAGGCCAATTTATTTTCGTTTTGAGACATTTTGGTGTGTATTTGTGCGTGTTTGTGTGTGTTATGATTTTTTTTCATTTGTAAATAAAGATGGATAAATATTGATATCTATGGCCACATGAGTAGATAGACATTCTAGCCGTCTTTACATTATAACTTTTAATCACACAGACGTCAATGAGTGCACCAGAAACCCATGCCAACATGGACGCTGTGTGAACCAAGATGGCGGATACAAGTGTACCTGCTCACCTGGATGGACTGGACAGAACTGTCAGCAAGGTTGCACATTTTGTGTGTCTCCTTTTTGTGTTAAGAGCCATTTATTCCCTTGTATTTTTAAAGCCAGTTGATTTCCCTCTGAGACATTTTGGTGTGTATTTGTGTGTGATTTTGTTTGTAATTTCTAGATAAATATGCAGAGATATCTATGGCCAAATGATTACTAGATAGACATTCTAGCCGTCGTTACATTATAACTTTTAATCACACAGACGCCAATGAGTGCACCAAGAATCCCTGCCAACATGGACGCTGTGTGAACATTGCTGGCGGATACAGATGTACCTGCTCACCTGGATGGACTGGACAGAACTGTCAGCAAGGTGGATATTTCTCGATGTCTTATTCTATATGCTTTCATATTTTTACCCAATTGTTGAACAATCATTCAATTTACCTGCCATTCATCCCTTCGTTTTTCTTTTCTTCTTCTTCCTCTTAATTTTTTTCAAGCATTTATGAATTCATTTTTTCAATCCAAATGACTTTAGAAAGTAAATGTAACAGTTTTTTTTAATCATACGCTATTTCTGTACACAATTTGATCCTCTGCTTTGGTTCTCAAGTTAAAGTGACTTTTCTGAAATGACCCAAAGCCTTGACCCGGATGGATGTGTGACGTAAGTAACGGGTCAAAGGTCCCCGCATCTTTGCCTCATTCTGATGTCACACCTTCGTCCATTCCACATGACAACATACTTGTCAGTGTGCTTTTGAGGCGTTCAGCAACAACAGATGCATCTTTTTTTACACAGAAATCAATGCTTGCAACAGAAACCCATGCCAAAATGGACGCTGTGAGAAAACATTTAATGGATATAAATGTACCTGCTATCCTGGATGGGCTGGAAAGAACTGTCAGAAACGTGAGTTATTTATAATATTGCATTTCTTCAATGGATTGAATAATAAAGTTATAGTCTAAATTTATAGGAATGAGTTTTCATGGCTCAGACTTTCTTCTTAAAACAATTTTATAACTGCTGAACATGTATGGAGGACATGGTGTTGCTTTTTGGTGTTTCGCACATTAGTTACTAAAGCCACCTGCGTGAACCAGGCTGGCGAATGTTTGCCCAAATATGGTTACACCAATTCAAGTTATTGGTTCTCTGTTTAGAACTGAAAAATCAACATAAAAACTCTGGACAAAACTGTCAGCAAGGTTGCACATTTTGTGTGTCTCATTTTGGTGTTTTTAAAGCCAATTGGTTTCCCTCTGAGACATTTTTGGTGTGTATTTGTGCGTGTGATTTTGTTGTCAATTTCTAGATAAAGATGCATAGATATGTCGGGATGGGATGTCTGTACCTATACTATAAGGTACACACAGTTTCAGGAACTGACTATGGCAAGATTCATGCTTTGAGAGAAGCGACTTATGACCCTTTAATGATTTTCTCATTAACTATATGCCCGAAAACCGATGGGGAAATAATCAGTGTTATTCAAGTTAAATCACTACAATATACTAAATGATAGAAATCAAATTGAAATTAATGGTTCGGCTAGCATATACAAGAGTCAAAGTTGTCAACTACCCAAACTTTCTGGTAAGAACTCAATCCCAAAACCCCTGTTACTAATTTTTTCCAGCCTTTCGATGCCGAAGTGGATGGACAGAATATAACAACTACTGCTACAAGTTCATAACAAGCAAACTCGGCTGGACCAAGGCGAATAAACAGTGTAAAAATATGCGCGCAAATCTTGTCTCAATCCATAGCCGTGAGGAGAACGAGTTCATCAAAGGTCTCATCGCTAACGGTAGGTAATTCATAGCTTATTTGTATCAAATTGATGCTCTTTAAGGCACCAATTTATTAATTTCATTGGTTCTTTGTCATTTTTCCAGACCTCACACCAAATGAGGAGGAATTAGAAACGTTTGATAATATATGATGAATCAGTTGATCATATTTTGTACTCAATGATAACCTTGCCTTGTCAAAAAGGCTATTCTGGCATTTCCTAAAGGATAATCAGGCATTTGATGAAGGTTAGACATCCAGGTAATACCATACGCCAAAAAGCAGTTACTCAAGCAACTGGATATGATTTTGGAAACGGTCAGACGTTTCAGCTAGCATCCACTGGCTTCCGACAGTGACTGAGAGACCAGAGGACAAAAACAGGTTTATAAGCACAAACTATTGATTGATATGCAAATAAAGTGAAGACAATTTTTTTGGAAGTCGAAAAGGGAACAAAACTCAGACAAGTCAAAACAAGATAATGCAAATTATTCAGAAAGTGTACACTTAAGCTCCTGTTCTCCACAACAGGAAACATTTCCTGCCCAATTTAAGTGAGAAATTTTATGCAAAGCGGCCTTTTCCAAGGGCACAACATCAAAACTTGTCAAGATTGAACCCAGAACCTCTTAGTTCTGGACGAAACAGTGACCCTAATCATAAAACCACATAATGCCGAAAAAGTTTTTGAGACTAGAAACGTTAACATTTGCAGACAAATACAGAATCTTTTACCTCCACACGGTCTCTCTCTATATATATATCATTGTATGCCAGGATAGAGACTCTGATCTAGTAGAATTAGCGACCTGTAGAGATCCCGATCGAAGCCTACGCTTCAGGTCTCCCTTCAGTAAGCAGAGTAGGTTGATACAATGTCTCCCCCTGCGAGCTTTTTATCTCTTAGAGCTAAGGAATGAAAATCCCAGAGCTTTTTGTGCAGTTGTGTCTTGTGGCATTCTGAGAATATGTCCGAACAGAGACCACCTGAGTTTCTCAACTTTCACGGAGAGAGGTTCCGTATTACAGAATGTCTATCCATTGATCTAAAGTGGTAGATTAAATAATTGGATTTTTTTACTGTTTTTCTTTGATTTCAGCGCCTGGAGGGGAACAAGCAGTCGTCAGCATTGGACTAAACAAGAATTCTAACGGACAGTGGGAGTGGTCTGATGGATCCCGAGTTTCCTACACGAACTGGGCTCCCGGTGAACCCAACAACAAAGGGATGTGGTCTTTAGATACTTGGTGTTCTGCTATGTCCTCCAAGGTGCGTGCTTCTATTCTTTTTCCAAGTATTAATCTATTCTGACTAGATTGATGGTAACCCCAAAACTGATGCAAATGTGAAAAAAAAGATATGATTCCACAGGTAGAGCCAAATTAACTTTAAATAGTATATACGCCTTCAAATTCTTGGAATAACTCTCTATGGGAAAGAGAATTGGAGGTTTAACACACACTGTAACCAGAAGACTATCCCCTTGTTATAGAATGGTATTCATAGGCTATGATGTTGCTCAAGTTCCTAAGAAATGGAGATGAAATCTAAGTGGCCAGCTACGTTTACACAGCCAAGTCATACGAAAAACTTAAATGGTATATACTGCTATAAAAAGCACTTAGTACCATATAGAAAAGTGTATTTGGAACTTTAACAACCACTGTAAGCAGAAGACTATGTCCTTGCCATATAGTATATCATTCATAGTACAGCTTATGGTGTTGTCCAGGTTTCAAAGAAACGGAGCTGGCGCTGCCCTGTTCACCAGATATGGTGAGGGAGGACTTAACTTTGGTGTATGCATTGTTTCCTACAGAGTGGCAGGGAGTGGTTCTGGGGACGTCACAGGGAAACAGGAAAGTGGTCCGACCAACGGTGTTCCGGTGGTTTTGATGGCTTTCCGTACGTTTGCAAGACTCCAAAATAAGAATGGAAATGATAGTAACTCAATTTTTTTTGGTGCATGTATTGGTTCCTACAGACTGGCAAAGAGTGGCTCTGGGGCAGTGACCGGAAAAAGGGACAGTGGACCGACCAACGGTGTATAGCTGGTATAAATGGCTTTCCGTTCGTTTGCAAGACTCCAAAGTAAGAAAAAGAATGATAGTAAGTCAATTGTTCTCTAGGAAAAATTCAGCCTTGTACCTCCAAATTTGAAATAAAAAGTTATTCATTTTGTAGTTTCTCGTCTATTAACAAGTAAAGACAACCTTGAAATTAAAAAAAAAGGAAGAGGACATGAGGAGAGAAGGAATAGTGACCACTTAGTCACTTTGTCATAGTAAAATAATGCATCCGTTTGTCAATAAATAGAATCGAAAGGAGAAGAAGGCCAGATAAAGGAAAAATCTATTTCTATGTATTGTATTGATGTATTGCTGTTGTTTTGTTTTTCTTGTTGGCTTTTCTTCTAAGCACATTTGCATAAATAGCAATAACAAAAAAATATTTGAAACTCTGAAAAGAAAGTCCGTACCTTCAAGTTAGTGCTGTGAGACTATATTTTTAGTTCACAGTCCTTTTTTTAATGTTTTTTAATGACTTTTACTTAGAAATATTGCACTGTAACGTCAAAATGAATGGAATTTATCAGTTTGTTCTGATAGTTGCTTGTTATGTACATGAATGGGTCATAACTGGGTTTTATTTCCTGTGTTATACGGGAATTGATTTTATCTGATAGTTGATTGTCATGTGCAGGAAACTGTAATAGCTGGGTAATAATTTCTATGGTATACAGAACTAAAAAAAAATTAATTCTCCGTTCCTTACTCTAGAAGCTTTTTGAAGGTTTTTAATGATTACATTAAAAACAACAACATTACAGCCAATCACGCAATTTTAGGAAGGTTAAAGAAATGAATAGACAAAATTTACTTGTAAGAAGACACTTACTTACAAAAATATTTAAAGCAACACAAAATATAACACTTTTGCACTTTTGCAATGTCTAAAATCTAGCAAAAAAAGAATTGCAGGTGTATGTTTATTTTTGCCTGCATCGAAGAGTACGTGGATTTATTAATGGTCTCCTATTTTATGTACACCTTATACATGTACATACATGGTCTCCTATTTTTAACATACATGTACACCTTAATAGCTCTAGAGATACATTTTGTGCTGATTTTGAAAAAAGTAAGTTGCCATTCATGTAGATGCCAAAGAGGTACGTGTAGTGTTTGTCTTTATTGTAAACATTATATCAATAACTGTAAAAATTCTGAAAACCAGGTTTATGCCTTGGAAGCCTGGACATACATGAATGCAATGTAAAGGCAATTGTACTATGTATATCTATACACTTTGTATAAAACTGACTCTTATTCTAACAATGGGTCTTTTCCTCTCAAGTTGACAATGTAACTGATGCGAAAAAAAATCTCAACTGTAGGTTCTATCTTACGAACAGAGGGCTTGACTAAAGCAACATTTTGCAATCATTACAACAACTTTAGTTCAACAAATGTTGACAAAATGTAGTATCCAGTCAATGAGAGCAAGTATTGATGTGTTTAGATTTAATATGATATTGTATAATATTATATGGTAGCTGGTTTGGCCA